TCACTCTCTCTCTCTCTCTCTCTGTCAAATAAGTAAGTAAGAAAAACTAAACAAAGTTAAAACTGGCAACCTTGAGAGATTCTGGGCACATTAACATCTTGAATTGTTCTTTAAATGTTTTGGAGCTTAATAAAAACCTCAAGACACATTAAGCCAGAAGATTTCTATATCCAAGAGGGTATAAATCTAATCCACATGTTTCTGATTCATTTACTTTTGAATCATTCAAGCAATGTTTTTAAGTGCCCTCCCAATGTCTATGGTATCTTTGGGCATTTTTATAACTCTTTTGCCTTAAAAACAGGAAATCTTGTTTTGCCAAGAGTAAATTAACTTAAAATACCAAAAGTATTCCAACCACTATACACATCTAAAGCAACAGAATTTTACGAAAATTCTCAACTTAGCAATGTCTCTTTTAATTGACTGACGTTTGCTGAACCAATCTTACACCATACACTTTCATCGAGTGAGATAATAAACACAAAGGAATTCAACTCCAAAGGTCTGTATGTAGCTCAATATGTTCATCAAATCACACCTATCTATAATATAGTTTATATTTTGATAATGTATAAATGACTGGACTTCTGATAGACTGTGCTAAGCTGTAGGAAAGAGACTTTGTATCTCCACATCTACCCATCACTGCACACAGAGTGACCAAAAGGGGGGAGCCATGGTCAAGGCAGCTTCCTTTAGGAGGGTAAATTCCCCAAGAGCAAGGCTCTCATCATTTGCCATCAGCCCTCTAAGACCTGTCCATTTTGATGCCAATACCTGTAGTAATTCAGTCAAACTTCAATCGGCTACCCAACATTTTTAATTATCGCTGACAAACATCTTAGTGACTAAATGTTTAACTACACTGGCTAGAAACACTAGCATTAGGAGTAAATAATCTTTTTTAAAAAATCAAGTTCAAATTTTATATATGCAAGGGAACACATTTCTTGGATAAACTCATCTACATAAGAAATCTATTTACTTTTCATAGGCTTTACTCTTCTTTCCCCAAATCAAAATTATCCTCTGCCCCTGAAGTAAAAGTGAGCAAGTGTATGTCCTTCTAGTAAAAGATTGCTGAAGTTTAATAGTGTCTACAGGTGCTGATTTAGGGAACAGATTAAAAATTACCATTTGGTTTCAGCATTTGCCTAATTAACTCTTACCTACAAAACCGAGAATCCACATTCTGGTCAATCATTTGCAATCTCTGGACATTCATACTACTTAAGTTACAGTCAACCAGTCAACAACTATTTATCGCTCTGCTAAACTGATGAAATAAGCATAGCAATAATAATAAGTTTCTTTCAGGGTTACGTATTCTAGAACGGAACATTAAAATGAAAAATTACTTGTATAAAAACAAAAATAATATCAAGAAAATGTTTCTTGAAGGGCTGATAAATGGACTTTTTCCCCCTCACCCTAGAAACATCAAAAGAATATCTTCAAGATTTACTTATAAAGGAATGGGGACTCACCTAAGATACACAAAAGACAATTGTATAGTTGCCATTTGTCTCTTAAAGATTATTGTATTAATTTGTTGCTAAATGAAATTGTAAACTAGTCAGTGACCCTTGTAGTTTCCTGTATTTTTCAGTTGGGATTATAATTGAATGAATTTATATGAGTCCCCAGGTTTAAAACTATAAAATCCAGATATTGTAAAAGTTTCAATTTTATTGAGCTATAGTTTAAATTAATATTACATTTGTACTACATTTCTAAATCTTAATTCCTGAAAACACACACTTCCTCCTTTGGAAAAATAATACATTATATTTTAAATTTTTTTAAAAAACACTACAGGGGATTTTTAGGGCAATGAAATTATTCTGTATGATACTCCAATGATGGACACATGTCCATATTCATTTATCCAAGCTCACACAATGTACAACATTATGGAAAAACTCTACAGACTTCATTCAATAAGAATGGGGCATGAATTGTGATAAATGTACCACACCAAAGGAGGACTTACTAATAAGGAAGGGTAACAAAGAGGTCAGGGGGAACATGAGAGAATGTAAATGTAAATGTAAAATCTGTGCTTGTCACTCATTTCCCTGTAAACCTAAAACTACTCAAGAAAAAATAAAGTCTACTAAATAGAGGAAAAGAAAACTTAAACAACATGATCATCTCACCTGTGTATTGGTTGAACTAGATCATTGAAATTAATAAAGCATTCCCTTTGGCATCAGCTACAAATTTAGATAGTTTTGGAAATTATGCCACTATTGCCAAGTTTCAACACAATGAATCTTAACAAGCACAACCACTGTCATCTGCATTATTTGTCTGCTCCATTTAGTGTGTGCACCTGTAACTTTGTTCCAGTTTGAGGCTTGAAACTGACAGTGAAAACAGGTCAAAAATTGGGCACAAATGTTCAACCAGATTATAAATCCAACAATTTATATTCATCAATCAAAGAAAGAAGGCACATGATGTAAAGTAGGGCATTGGGGGAAGCTATCAATATTATAGGACAACTATGGGAATCCAGAAGCTTGATTTCAGAGATATTTTTAAAACTTCTTAGTTTTTAAAAATACAGGGTGGAGAGTGATGGCTCAGTCATTAACACCCATGCAATTTTTCCTAAGCATTTAAGGGAAAAATGGAGAAATATTTCAAATGAGATGCTAGCACTGGGTGTTATTTGGCATTCCCAAACCTGAGTTTTTTTTTTAACTAGGGTTCCATTTAGAGCTGACTGGTGGACTTACCCTAATGCCAAAGGCACGTGTGTCCAGACCACAGAAGTTATGAATCTCTTAGTCAGAATTTGCTATAAAGACCTAAGTCTTCACAAGAGAAACCAAGAATGCAAAGAATGCTTCAAATAAAATATCAATCCATCAGCAAGTGTCAGTGGCATATCCATTATGCATCTAACAGAGAAATAATTCTTATGCTAAGAGGCATTTTAGAAATATTGATTCACTGGTGTCATAGGTGTGTTGATAATTCATAAACAGAACATAGACCTGGAAAATGTTGCACAAAAATAAAACTGTGCTCCCAGTAGAAATATGTTCAAAATAGGAACTAAATTGTAATATCTATTTCAACAGTGAAGGAAACCAAAAATTCAGGAAGAGAAATTAGAGAAAAACATAAATTCAAAATATCCATGATGAGCATGAAATCTTGCTACCTTCCACAGTCTCACAGCAGTCAACCTATCTGTCACTCCTCTCTCTCAGTCAAAAGCCATAACTAAGCAGAATTTTAAAGGTGACTGAGAACAAACAGAAACGAAAGCACCAGTGATTACCTTGGTTGCCCTGACTACCTGTCTCTCCTTGCATACCATATCCCATTGTTTTCAGGTTCTCTCCAGAGCTACGACTTTCATTTAAAATGTTTCTTTAACTATTTTCAGGTACCTCTTTTCTCACCTTCCTCATATTCTCTTTCCAACCCTCAATTAATTTCAGTGCTACTCACACTCACTTCTGATTTTGGAAAAGCTACTCTATGTCAAAGTTTAAGGGGAAAAATAGGAGTCTCCTTTGAAGGGAATTCCCTTTGTCAAGTGGCATAAATTAAACTTCAAGAATGAACGCTGAAGTGATTCCAAGTATTGACAGAACTGTTCTCTGCTTCAGGTTCAAATAACTAGACTATGAGCACAGATCAAATCCTGGCTGGTTTCACCTCAGGCCTACTAAAATGATAACAGGCAGGTCTCAAAAGGTTGACTTACCACTGACAGACCCAACCTAGCCTCCCTGGGCTTGGGCTCCGAGGACCAATTCAAGACAATTCAAGAAAGCTAAACTGAGACTGTGAGGACATAATATAAATAAAGAAATCTTCAAAAAGTAGAAATCCTTTTGTAAAATAAAATCAGCTGTCAGGGGATCTGTCTGCAACAACAGGTCTCACAAACTTTCTTGTGCATCAGGATCATCAAGATTGTTTATTAAAACTCCACTAGCAACAATGTTTAGACATGGGCCTGCTAGGGGTTTAGGAAAACTGCATCAGTAACAAGCACCTTTATAGGACCAGGCAAGGGTGCATTCCATCTACCTTCATCTCCCCTACCTGTGGCTCCCCTGTATTACTAACTCTAGCCCATTTGTTCACCAGTACCGAAAAAGGAATGAAAATCATCTTTACTGCCATCACTAGCTGTGTACGGAGGATTCTTTTTCTAATTCATGGCATGTTGTTACTCTTCCCATCATAAAGTAAAATGATGAAGGGAGTTATGGCCATACTTAAAAATCATAAGTATTTTTTTCTTCCATCTAGAAGATACTATAAATGACTGATGTTTGTTGTTAATTCCTTAACCTTAGTTTTCATTTCCAAATAAAAATCAAACATAGCTACTGGCTACATTTAACAATTTTTTTTCTTAAAGGAATGGAATGATAAGGGAATGATCTGTGGTTTTCCTACCAATCACACCTCTCCCTGAACTATCAGCATTGTTCTTGGGTTGATGAACTAGTGATTTCTTCACCTAACCTATCCATAGAGTTCACCTCAACTATCCAACTATCTCAACTCATCACCTCCCTTTGTAAGCCAAGACCTAGTCCTGTGTGTTTAGAAGAACCCAGGAGCTAATATGCCTTTTAGATAAATTAAAAGTCTGTGTGACTTTCTACTAAGACTTAAGTTGAGTCCATTACAATACTGTATTATAGCTGATCAGTTTTTTTCACATTTTGACACTAATCCTATTAAGTATATTAAAACTATGTTGCTCTGTTAAAATTACTTTATCCTCTTCTGCAAGCAGGTTACACTATAGTTAGAATTGTTTAGCAAGACATTTCTTTCAACTCAGGACTTGTAGGAAAATAACCATGTGTACATAAATAGCTTAATGAATAAACTCCAGCATTTAAAAGATTGAACAGTGCTGCCTCAAGATCACAACTTTGAAAAAAACAACAAACCTCATATTCAACAGGGAAAAACAAAAGAAAGCAGAAATTGTCAAAATGTTAGGCTCTTACCAGAAATGGACTCCAGCAAATGCAGGAGACACACATAATAGCCAGGAGCTGGATGACCATTTCAAAATGATGAGACCTGCCTTGTCTGTGCTGCTGACTTTTAAATTTAACTCTTAAAAGTGTAATTCCTGTGATGGCATTGCACAAGAATGAAACGCCAAGGGCTAAGAGCCCCAGAAAAGAAAAGAGTAGAAGGTAAAACCTATCTTCCCAGTCTTTGATGTGCTCTGTTTTGTAGAAACACCAGGTCCTCGATGCTTGAATTTTATAGTTTCGATGCCCAAGGATGGGTAGCAAAGCTATGAAAACAGCAAACAAGCACACTCCACTCAACATCATTTTCACATGTTTGGATGTGATTTTCGTAGAATGAAATATTGGCTTGGTGACTCCAATACATCGCTCAATGGCCATCACACTGCCTAGAAAAAGCGGACATAGACCAGAGAATACCATGCAGATACCAAAAATACTGCAAAGGATGTTCGACTGGTCAAAGCGGATCCAGTCTTTATCAGAAGCGTACACAAAGACTGCTATAGCTCCATTGATGAGGTGGCCAAAGAAGTCTGTGATTACCAGGGCACTGGCCAAAAGTAGAAACGATGCCTTGGACTTCTGTCTAAATCTCTGATAGGCCTTCATGAGAATAGCAATGGCAAGGCTGTTTGATAAAATTCCCACTGTCATGAAGATGACTGAAAAAAATACCGAAAACCGGTTGTCCGTCTGGCAAGTTGTATTGGAAAGGAGCCCAGCTGCAGGAGATACTGGCTGTTTGGAATTGTTCATAGACATTGTTGTGGAGATTAAAAAAAAAAAAAAAATGCTGGCCACTCAAGTCATCTCTCTCTCAGCACAGTGCAGGCTTGCAGTCCAGACATCTGTAGCATAAAGACAGAGGAAGTGTGAGGACAGCATAAACTGCTCATCTGGCTTTTAAGACTGACGCGCCCCAGCACCCCGTGGTGGGACTCAGATGTATCTGGCCTATCATAAGCAAGGTTGCATCATACCACAGCAGCACACATCTGCCTGCCTTTCCACATTTCACTTCCAAGGTAAAGAAGCTGCCAAAATTGAGACCCCCTCGGTTCACTCTGTGGCCCCTCTGCAAATGGGACCCCCAAAATCTCCCCCTGATGCCTCACAGGCACCTTAAAACTTGTAAAGTTGACAAAATCTCTACCAAGATTCGATTTAAACCTCATGAAGTTTTTTAAAAGCATACTTGTCTATTTAAATAACGAGGTGACATTTAGAGTTTCTGCTTTTTTCTTGGATGGGCTTTGTCCCCAAACTGCAGATTATTCTTTAAGTGAGCCACCTGTTTGTCAGGAAGATGAGACATCTTCTTCAAGAGGACAGAGTGGACCAGCAAGCTCACTGATGTTAAATGGGGCTTCTCTCAATACGTTCTAAAACCGTTCGATTTAGATCAAATTTCAGCAAACCACACGCAAGTGGGACCCATGGAAGGTCGAGGGGTAAGTCTCTAAGAAGCGTCTCTGGTCCAGCGAGCACCGGTGCAGAAATCCCGGCTCACGATAAGTAAGGAGGCAGTTCGTCGCGCTCCCCGAGACATCTGCCTATATGCTGTTGACCAAGTCACAGCTGCAGGGTAGCAACGTCTCACACGAAGTATTCACTTGTGTTCGTTTATCGTTCTTTCCGTGGTGTGTTGAGGCCTGAGTCACAGACCCTCCATACCCACGACCACAGCCACACGCCTCGAGCTAATTCGATTGAGGTTTCCCCGGAGCAGCTTTCCGGGAGGCTGGGAATTACCGAGCCAGCCTTTCTTGGGCCGGGCCGGAGTGGAACCGCCCGGGCTGCGCGAGGACGGCTCCTGCTCCGGGTCTTAGAGCTCAGAGTTCGCCCTTACTGTCCCATGGCCCCTCTAAGCCTCTGCTTGCAACATCCTTCCCAAACCTAACTTGCTGAAACTTTCTGCTATTGCTCAAACGCCCTGGGGCCGGTTTCCCTCCCTCTCTGGGGGGCGCCAAAGGCCTGCGCTGGCCCGGGTGCAGGACTCCCAGAGTCGCCGGCCGGAAACCACCGGACGGGCAGGGATCTCTCCGTGGTCCCATTCCCTCCCCGGGGAGCCTTTCTAACGCTCCCTACGCGCGCAGCTCAGAATCAGTTCGGGTCAGCAGAACTAGCTCCCCCGCTCGGGCATCTGGTCCGAACTTGCCAAGCTCAGACTAAGGTGCCCTCCAGTGCAGCCGGCCGAGGTTCCACCTCGGTGGGGTGGAGCATCCCGAGGCCGACCCGTGGGAAAGCAGCCGCTGGAGGGCTGGTTACCTTGGCATCCACGGCCGCCGGTAGGGCTCTCCGGGGAGAAGGGCGCCCAGTTCCGAGTGCCATCGTGCTCTGAGCTCCGCTCCGCCGCCAACGCGGGCTCCTCCCGCGCAGCGCAGCGCCGCGCCCCCGCTCCCGCTCGGGCTCTGCTGGGCCCAGCCGCGCGTCCCTCCGCGCGCTCTCCCAGCTGGAACCTGCGGGCGTGCTGGGCTCCTCCGGTCGCTCAGCACCCCGCGGCGCTCACAGGCTGGGCCGGATGGAGAGCACGGGTGACCTCCGCCCCCCAACCCCCGCCCTCTCCTCTCTCTTCTCCGCCCCCTTTGCCAGGAGCCCGGAGCGGACCGGGAGAGACCAGGGCTCCGCACTCTCGGATGCTGCGGCATCTGCATCAGCATCCGAGCGGCAGGCCCACCACCTGGGAAAAAGTTTTGTTTCAAACTCAAGTTCAATGCGCCATCTCTAAAGCTGCAAAATAGGAATCCGTGGAGCTGAGGAAAGAACAGACAGCTGTCGGGGCGGCGTGCTGGACTGTCCCATTGTAGTCTGCAGACGGAATCCTCCCCAAATCCCAGCTCGAGAAGGAGAAAGAAATCAGGCAGAAAGAAAGAGACGGTGTATTTGAGGAAAGGGCTTAGCGGCCGATATCCCCAGGGAGTTAAAAAAAACAAGCATTTAAACCACATGCTGTAAATCAGAGTCACTGCCTGGGGGTTCACTATCAGAGGACGGGACTATGTTTCTAACTTTCTGAGGAATGTGAGAAGGCAGAGGGACGAGAAGTATTCTTGAAGGACACCTGCAAATAAGATATTAGTAACATTTTAATGATTTTTTAAAAGCCCAATGTTGACAGTATTTCTAATTGTATGTTTACTCAGAGTTGTGAATCTAAATTTTGGGGAGATCATCTCATTATCAGGTGAAGAAATACCCACTACTTCATTAGGAATTATGATTTGGGTCATTTTAATACCGTAACTGATTTTAACTAATATTGTTTTAATCCATACCTACTGTGTCTCATTCTTCCAGATAAACACTTACAGGAATCTATTAGTGACCTTTGTTCTTTTTATTTTAGTAAAGTTTTGCCACCACCTATGTGAAAAAATCAGTACCACATAGAAATAAACCCTCTTTACTCTCTTCTAAAGTCAGAAGGGGCCTCTAAATTCCTGGAAATTGAAAAGGATCGTAAAATGCTAAAGTGAGATAAAATAAATTAGCCATTAACTATAGAAAAGATTGATTGCAGTTTTCCCCTGTGGTAAATATTGAGGGTTTTTTTAATGATATGATCGTGATCTATAAAATAAACTGTTACTCAGGTATGGTCAGGGAATTGAACAATTTGATTAATCAAATATTCTGGTTAGTAAAGGACTATTATATCTGGAGGAGCCAGCATCCAAAGAACAACTCTGTAATAAACTACGCAGAAAACGTGAATGCCATAAAGCACTATACTTTCCCTCAACAATTAAGAAGACTTAATCACATTACATTGCAATTACCTGCTTATTTATGTCTCTCTCACTGAAATGAATTACTGCAGAGGTCTTGTTCCTTTCTCCACCCTCACCTAGGACTGTGCCTGGTCACTTATCAAATGTTGTTTGAATTCATCAATGGTACCATCAACATTGCCAGTATTATAGTTTGAGATCTTGAAAACTCTCCATCTCTCACTTGAGCACCTCACTAACATCAGCTTCTCTATCTAGTGGAAGAAAGAAAGAAAGAAAGAAAGAAAGAAAGAAAGAAAGAAAGAAAGAAAGAAGAAAGAAACCTCATTAATGTAATGTTAAATCATAACATGCATTATGTGATATATTCAAAACAATAGTAATTTATGTTTCAAAATACTACATAAATCCCATTTTTTTCCTTTTTTTAGAGAGATGGACATGGAGAGCACAAGCAGGGGGAGGGGGAGGGGCAGAAGGAGAGAAACAAGCAGACTCCCTGCTGAGCAGGGAGTCCAATGCAGAGCTCAGTCCCATGACCCTGAGACAAAGGAAGATGCTTAACCGACTGAGCCAGACAGGTGCCCCGTAAATCCCATTTTAAAAAATTATCTACTTTGCCTGTATTCCTGGAGTTTCTTTTTTGGAATCCACTCCTCAATCGAGAGGCATTCCACTTGAAGATCAATAAAAGATTCTAAAGCACTCTTCTCCTCAAGATAGAAAGAATATGTTACTATTAGTAGAGCAAGTTCTAATAGATATGAAAGATTAGACAACTAACTCATAAAAGAAAAAAAGTTACACACACGTGTGTGTGTGTTTATGTGCATGGGTCTGGCCTTATGGGACTCAAATCTGATCATTTTGATCAATGATCAATCTGATCATAATCTGTTTATTCAAAGTTCCCAAAGGCAGCTTTGACTGCTTATATACAGAAGAAGAGCTGGTGATTCCACAGATAAGGGAAACAAACTGATCAAAAAAAAAAAAAAAAATTACCGGAACCTAGGGCACAGCTCATAAACTCTTCTGAAATGTGGTAGTTGCTATTGGTACTTCTCCTGAGAAGTGGACACTCACATAAAACTATTCATTGATATATTCATTCAACAAAATTTTTTGAGCGCCTACATCATGTAAGGCAGTTTCTCAGTGGCAGCGACACAGCTGTGTGCACAAAGCATACAAAGCTCCTGGTCTGGTGGGACTTCTAGGGTAAGGGAAGGTACTGTGGGGGCATGTGTGCTGGAAACCTTGCAGTGATTTTAGATGTCCAGGATTCCCTTTGTGTTCAATGGAGGTAAAGCTGACGTCAGCCGGTCTACAAGAAGCAAACATACCATGACAGGTGTGTGCTTGGCAATCACCTTCGCTCAGAATTAGACAGTGTCCTCACTTTGCTCAGAAGATGAGCGCACTGTAATTAAAGTCAGAGAAACAGGGACTCAGTGACACTGAGGTTGCAATAAAAATTCCATAAAAGTTAAAGGGAGTGTTGGAAGTTGAATTTTATGGTTTTAATAAAACTGTCTAGAAAAGCTTTTCTGGAATTTGCCATTGAGATTAATAGTAGAAACATGCCCTGATTTGGTAGTGATGAAAATAATAACACCTTTTGTCTTTTTATTTTTATTCTATAACTATTGGATGCATGAAAAGTAGATGTCACACATTTGAAAATTGTGAATTATTAAAAAAAAAAAAAAACACCTCTCCACCTACTACCTAATATAAGGACAGCATTAGTTTCCTAGGGCCCCTCTAATAAAGTACCACAAAGTGGGTGGCTTAAACAACAGAAACATCTCCTCTCAGTTTGGAGGCTAGAAGTTCCAAATCAAGGTGTTGGCAGCTTAGTTCCTTCTGAGGACTGTGAAGGAGAATCTGTTCCATGTCCCATGCCTATTGCTGGTATTCTTTAATGTTTTTTGGATTGTGGATGCATTATTTCAATCTCTGCCTTCATCATCATATGCCATCCTCCCTGTGTCTCTGATCTCACATGAGGTCTTTTAAGGACACTAATCACATTGAGTTAGGGGTCCACCCTACTCCAGTATGACCTGATCGTCATCAATTACATCTGCAACAACCCTATTTCCAAATAAGATCACATTCTGAGATATTGGGGGTTAGGACATCAATATATCTTTTGGGAGGGGGGAGCAATTCATTCCACCAAGAACTATACTAGAA